ACAGATGCAGACCCAGAAGTTTGCAAGAAAATGTGCAAGAAGAACGAGTTTGAATCTGTCCTGTCCCTTGTGGCATATTATCAGATGGTAAGGTGGCAGAAGGCATCAAACCTCTTCTTTTTGAGATTTCCATGAAGATGTAAAAGAGCAGGATTGCTATGAGGAATGTATGTATGATGTTTCCACTGGGTAGGGCAGTTCTGTAGACCATATGGAGTTGCCATACAGACCTTTGGCATGCTGGCTAATGTCAGTGCTATCATGCAAGCTGTATGGAAGAGCAGAGGGTGCTGGAGGCATTGGAGCAGTAGCTAGCACTGGGAAGGGTAAAGCTTGCTGCTTTTATTAGCTCCATTGAGGGACAGAATCAGCATCACTCATGTCTAAGGGAAGGATTTACGAGGATGCCTTGGGAAAGCTGACAGGCTGTGACTGCTCCTCTTTTAATTGATTAGTGCATTAGTAAATAGCTTTGCTTAGGAAAGTAGGTTGTGAGTAGAAGCCCTGGGAGTGAGGAAGGAAAGCTGTATTTGGAGGAAGAAATGGGAGTTTTGCCTTCAATGCCTGTGCAGAGTTGCTTTGCCCCTCTCCTCCCTGGAACTTGCTGATATAGGGAGTTGGAAACTTGTCCCCATCTTGTCCCTAAGTTCCCAGCTGCAGCACATCAGGCCTTGTGGCATTTAGCTTTCATCTAGTACTTGTCTGTTTGAAGCCAGTGCTCAGCACTGAGTGCAGTAGCACATGTGAGAGCAGTGAGAAGGCAGGGTTAATGGAGCTGGGTGACTGTGACTGCCTGCTCTTCTCTGACCAGCATTTTGAGGAAATCTGGCCAGGTGGAGAGCAGCTGGATCTCCTGTCCTGGCTGCTCATGCCCAGTGCCAGGGCTGGGCTCACTCCTGCTCTCTGAACCCTGGGGTTGTTGGCTGAGGCTGCAGTATGAAGGTCACCCCAGCAGCATTGCTTCTCATGGGAGCTGCAGGTTGAGTGTTGTCTTGGATCCCTGCATGTCCCAAAACTATCTGGTTTTACCCTCTGCTCCCACCACAAACCCAAGAGTTTCACAATGGAAGCAGCTGTTCCCATCCTGTTTGTTAACCACCACATGCTGAAGAGGGTTTGCAAATATTGTGTGGTCAGGAAGCACCTTCAGAGAGCTGTGTTAGCAGAACCTCAGTGTGCTGAGAGAATCCTGGCTACCTTGCAAGTGGAATCTCTGTTTGCTGGGGATGGCTATAGGTTGGTGATCTGTATCATATTAAGTGGGGCATTTCAGGTCTGAGCTCTGGGTGCTATCCCATCTAGCAGCCTGCTGACAGCCTCTGGCCAGCTCAGTTGTGATTGTTATGGTAAAAGGACTCCTGCACTGTTGTTAAAAGCTAGTAGAGCTTCTGGGTTCACTGTGACCCTGGGAGAGTCTGTAGCTTCCCAACAGTGGGAACTTCTAGCCAGTTATGCCTCTGCCTTAGAGCAAGCCCTCGTCTGGGACATGACTTGATCTAACAAACTGTTTTGGCAGGAGCACAGGGTGCCGTTACGGCTGCTGCTGTTGAAGTGCTTTGGAGCCATGTGCAACTTGGATGCTGCAGTCATCTCAACACTGGTCAACTCTGTGCTGCCCATGGAGCTGGCCCGGGACATGCAGACTCACACACAAGGTGAGCCAGGGCTACTCTGCCCAGGTCCCCAGGAGTGTGACTTCCCATTAGGCAATGACAGCAGCACTGGTGGCCCATCACTGCCTGAGTGCTCTATGTGCCCAGTGCTCTGGGGAGAAGGGTGTCTGGTTTTACAGCTGTAAGTGGAGAATGCACAGGAGGGGAGGTTTTGGTCCAATGATGCAAGGCTCTCTAGCTCTTCAGTGTGCCATTAGTGATATGCATCACTTCTTGTAGATGTCTTAAAACACATTTTTGAGCTGTTCCAGTTTGTTTCATAATGTTGACAGGAGATGCCTGTAGATCTCAAGATCTCTTCAGCTTCTTATAGGCAGTTTCTACACCAGATCTTTGTATTGTTTGTTGCTGGTGAATGAGATGTGTGCTCGTTAAAGGAAAGGACCTTCTCCCCACCACTGAACCAAGGAAGATGGTAGTGCTGTTAACAAAATTATGGTGCTCTGCAGGATAGTGCCACAGCCCTTCCTTCCCCAGCTCTTGGCTTTCCATACCCAAACTTTGCTCTCTTGTTCCTTCTGCTTCATGGTCCTGCTCCCTCTTGTTAGGATGACCTGTCCCTGATAGTTTCTCTTAAAGGGATGCTGGAAATCCATTGGTTTGTGCTAAACATAGTCAACATTTAAAGTAGCCATTGAGTGATCAGGTGGATCAAATCTCAATTTTTGGAGCCCCATATTTGGAGCCCTGCTGCCCTGATTGCTTGTTGGTTTGCTGTGAGTGTCATGGGGCTGTGTAGAAGCTTAGTGATGAGATTGAGGAGGGAATGACAAGTCTGTGCAGAATAGGGACTGTCACATCCATTTCATGTGAGCCAAGTAAATGTCCAAGACAACAACTTTGGATGGACCTAATAGATGTCCCGGTCCCCAGCATCCCACCACAGCCTGTGCCAACTCAACTGTGGAGGACAGGACTAACAGGGCTAATCTGGTCTCTGCGAAGGTGTGTGAGATGTGAAGATCAAGCCTGTTGCAGAAGGCTTTGTGCTCCCCTTTGCTTAAAGGCTTTGAAGTGCAGACATTTCAAAGGTGGAGAATGCCTGAAAAATAGTGTCTCAGCTCAGAGCAGGGCACTAGTGATGTAGGGAGGGGCTGAAATCATTATGCCTTTGTTTGCTACGCTTTCTCTTTATGCTACTGGTGCTTATCAGTTCCATGCAGTGAACTTATCACACTGTTAGTGTTTCATCTGGCTATGCATGAGAAGCCTTTTCTCTAGGCTGAGGTTTCACTGCCCAAGCAGCAAATAATGTTTGGTTATGAGGCTCTGACTGTGTGACAACATTACTCCTGATTTTGTACTGCCAAAAATAAAATTGGTTGTGCATCCATCACTAATTCATAAAGATTGCTTTCTGGTGAGTATTTCCTGCACCATGCTCAAACTGGCTTCAGTCTCCTGCTCTAGAGGCATTAAGCTCTAACTCAGGTGACTTAAGTCCACCTTTGCTGATCACAACATAGCACTTGTGGTTGGAGCAGCCTTTATCCCAGCAAGTGTTAGCTCTGCTTTGGAGACCTGGAAAGCATTGCAGTGGAGGTGGGTGAAAAGTGGCTCTGCTGTGTCCTCTGAACTGGCAACCTGCAGCTTCTCTCAGTGTCCTTTCTCCCCCTGGCTTTTTCTCAAGGTGAGGGGTTTTTCCCCTCCTTGCTGTTATAAGTAGATGGTGCAGAGAAGGGTGAAAATCTGCTTTTCCTTTGCTGACAGATTGCTTTTGGTTACAGAAGGCTCCCAAATCCATGCCCTGATCCCGTGCTGTCTTCCTTCTGCTAAGCTTATGGCAGGCGCTTGCACAAACGTCATCTGTGTAGCATCCAGTCCCCTCAGCCTTTGCAGTGGGGCTGCAGAGCAGTGACCATCCTTGACCCAAATGTGTCTGTCCTTCAGAGGTGTTTTAGGGCATTACTAGTTCCCTCCTGCCATTCTGGTTCTTCCTGCCAGCAAATGCCAAGAGGTACCTTGCATGAAAACATGACCTTGAATCCTAGAATGACTTAAGCTTATTCTAGTATTAGAAACTGGGGAATAGCAGCTGATCCATGACACACTGTGGAATATCTAATCCCTTCTGTGGATGGCAGGAGCCCGAGCAATTGGTGCCAACACTAAGCAACTGGGAAACGTCGAGCTGGCTGCAGCAGCTCTGTGGGATCCCTCCTGGCTTGTTGCTGCAGAGCAGCAGAAGCAGAAGCTCATTGCCTGGTTGCTGGTGCCTTTGATGAGAAGATGCTTTACCCTGGGGCTGGTGCAGGCATCTTGGCTGCTGGCCAGTTCTTCTGCCAGATGCTGGGGTCTTGCTGCTTCTGGACAGCCACTTCCCTCTGCTGCAGCTGGTCTGCGCATCTATCAGTGTTAGAAGAGCTTATAATAAGCTACAGCGAGGCAGAATTAGCCAGAACAATTCCAAAGAAAACAGAGAGGGATAATCCACTCTGTAATGGTGACTTTCTCCCTGGTTGTGCCTCAGTGTACATGCAAGTCAGCTGCTGGACTCTTTTTATTTGAGTTGTAGACAGCTGTGTCTGCTCCCAGTGCCCAGATCTTGCACTGCTGTGTTTAAAGGTTAGAAGCAAAGTCTTGAAGGCCTCTGAGAAATGATTTTCATATATAACAGCAGCTTACTTACCAGTACCTCAGCAGGCTTCGGAAGTGCAGGCTGGTGAGCAAACAGCCACATCTCTGCTGCCTTGCCTGGCCACTTGAGTGGTGCTTATCACTCTGTCACCAGCAGAGTCCTTCTGCTTCAGGAGAGTTGTATTAATGCTATTTACACTGGTGCTGCTCTGGAAGGAAAGTAAGCTGTGCTTTGTCTGGCAACTACTCTGTTCTTCAGCATGGTCAGTCTTGAATGAATCTGGCTGCAGCCAAGACACTCCAAAACCTTGTAGAGTTTGGGCTGAGCAAGTGCAGCAGGTTAATTTGGATTTTCCTTGAGTTCAGCTTTCTGAGTGGTTTCACCCTTCTTTGCTTTGGTGCCCTTAGGCAAACCCAATAAGATTAGCCACCTAGTAGTAGAGTCTGCTGTTAACTGAGATGAATGGACATCAATTCATGGCAGATGAGCCAAGGATGTGTAAAACTACCCTCCCAACTCTAATTAATCTCTTCCTCCATATTTGCTACAACCACATGTTTCTCACTGGCTTCTGGTTCTCAGACCATTATTTCATTGCTCCTGGTGTGATAAGAGAAAGTGTTTTGGTCACAAAAGCCTTACTAGGAACATGGTAACAGCAGGTCCCTATGTCTACCTACTGCAGCATCCTGCCTCTGATACCAAACTCCTGAAGCTGTGGAGGAAAGAATAAGGAAATCTTGTTGAACAGCTTGTCAGATTCTGGCTTCTTATATAAGTATGAATTGTATTGAAGTCATTAAATATCCTCACTCTTTGTTTATCAAGAGGACACAGAAGTTTCCAGCTTTCCTTTGTCGCCACATGGTTTAGAGTGTTCTCATACAAACTCTTAATCTTGTTAATGCTGTAGTATCTCTGGTTAAGCCCCAAATGCTCTATTCTAAGCAAAATATTTGCTGTTTGAATGGGCATCTTGTGAAGTTCTGACCAAGTCTTGTTCCTTTTTTATGGAAGCTTTGCTCACAGAGTTGACCTTCCAGGGTCACAAGGCTGGAATTAATCTCCAGTATTTTTCCCCCCATGCTAACAGTAAATCTGAGAGCTGCCAAGTGTTGCAAGTCCTTTGGCCAAGCCCAGGAGTATCTGGTGACAGTGAAGGCATCAACCTGTGCAGTAAAACCACACTGCTGGGTGCAGATGCTTAAAGATGGGTTGATTTGTGCATAGAGAATTGAAATGTCTTAGAGGGTTGGAGGAGGCACTAGAACCACCACGTATTGTCCAGGTAAGCAGTACTGCTGGGAGGAGCATCATACATTGAAGGGACTTTCTCCTCTAATGAAAAGTACTTTTGGTCAGTCTTTTATAAATGCCCCCTCCGTTTTCTTCTAAGTGTCCCCAGGCTCTTTCTGGTAGATGCAGCTGAACTTCAGCCAGTATGTGTGATAACCTACTCCAAAAGAATAATACTCCTTTTTCTATAGTCCTTGGCCTTGCTCAACTAGACAGAGGCTACATTTTATTATGACACAGATCCTATTCCATGACTTTTTTTTTCTTCTGCAAATAATCTACTGAGGTATATTCATTAATTAAATTTCAGGAAAGGCACTGTCTGTGGTTCTGTGGAGTATTCACGTACAGCTGCTGCCAGCAAAAATTGTGTTGGACTAGCAGGCTGTGGGAAGTATTAATACTGGAGACATGTATGGCCTGGGAGGTGGGCAGATGCACAGCCTGAGTCATGAGCAGTGATCTGGTCTCCTCAGGGACCTCTTGTACCTCTAGGCAGAGCTGAGGTAGCAAAAGTAGAGCAGTGCAGAGACAGTAACGAGCAGCACAGCGGTCCGGGGGTGGTGTTGGTTGGAAGAGGCGGTATTTCAAGGTGGCCAGATGGCTGCTTTTTCTGGGTTCAGTAATTACATAACTATGGGATGTATCCTGGGACTGTGCAGGGGAGGCTTTTGATTATTCAGATCAAGTTTGCCCAGATCCTCTTAAGTGGAGGGGAAAAAAACACGAGAACTGTTGTGATTATTTTTAAATTGCTTTGGAAATGCATGGTGCAGGTGTCTGGTGTGCCTAAACGGGAGAAAACACCCTCATAGCTCAGTAAATACAGGATCGAGGAGCAGTCTAATCAGTGTTAAATGTCAGTATTAAACGTGTGACTTCCCAGCTGCAGCTGGGGTACAGTGTTTTGCATCCTCTAATGGTAGGTACTTTATCTTGCAGATCATCAGAAGATGTGCTACTCGGCACTGGTGCTGGCAATGATGTTCTCCATGGGGGAGCCTCTGCCATATCACCACTATGGTAAGAGCAGCTTGTGCTCATGGCTTGGTAGGACAGCAGACATGATGATGGGACATCTGGGGTGTGCTAGCAGGCACAGGGAAGGGACCTTTCCTGGTGGCAGAGGTGGGGACATCTAGGGGAAAGCCCAGCAGAAGCAGGGTGAGAGTAGGGTCTGCTCTTTATTGATTGAGCCTGGGTGCTGAAAAACTGGGCTGAGATGCCAGATTTCCAGAGGGAGTTAGAGCAGTGTAGGACTGGTGCCATGATGCAGAGGAGGTGGATTTGCCAGCACTGTGACCAAGCAGCATTTTGTTTAACCTCTGTCCTGTGTGAAAGCATCTTGCTTGTCCTGGAGACGTTCTGTCTGCTGATGAGGCTGAGAGCCCAGATCGGTCCATAAACACCCACTGAAGCTGTCGGCTGCATAATGAGATCTCTTCCTGGTCTCCCTTCCAGTGGAATGGTGCAGGCCTGTGTATTTCAAGCTCTTAGAGAAGGCAGAGATTATTAAGGGCATTGCAGTCAACAGGGAAGTACAATTGTCCCAGATCTGCCTGTTTTATCCTTTGTTCTTTCATTTCAGTCTTAGCCAGAAAGCACTGCCTGCCTGCTTCTTACCCTGGCCTGGTTGTGTTCCCCTGGTTGTGTTCCCCTTCTTGGGAAACTCTGGGCTCAGTTTTCCTAGAAATGCAGTAGAGATGCTATGAGCATCTCCTCAGCAGCTTCACCTTAACATTCTGGTAAACACATACAAGATTTAAGTCAGTACAGTAGAGACTGTAGAATGAGCCTCCACACCTTCTGCTCTTCTCTCCTCGTGTAACCCTGGCAGTTATTTCCTGCAGGTTGTTTTATTTGCATGAGCTCCTGAACTTTCCTAATAGCTAAACTGAAAAATGGGTTGTTACTAGTGATCTGAATTATTGCTTTTTTTTTTTAAATAGATGGGTTAAACCAGTGGTCAAGCATACAAATCTCTTCCTTCCTGAAATCTTCATTGGCAGCAGTGGTGCTGAGACAACAGCCAGAGCAGCATTTGGTGTTTTATTTACTCCAAAAACATTGCCAATGGGGGACGAACTTTCAGTGTTCCCCTGCACTGTGGACTGTTCTCTGAGCCACTTCTCTCTCACCCAAAGACACTTCAGTGGTCCCTCTATTCTGCTTACAGGGTTGTTAATTCCCTGGAGGCTGACACTGCTGCTCCACTAATGGTTTTTAAGCATAAATGCATGGAGAAGTGGTTTGTGTGGTCCCTTGTTGCTCAGTTTATTTTCACGGTGCTGTGAATGCCCCTCTTTTTCCTTGTGCAGAACATCTCAACTCTCAGTTTGTGCAGTTCCTACTGGATGTGATTGAGGATGGGCTGCCCTCAGACACCACTGACCAGCTGCCTGACTTATTTGTCAACGTCCTTCTGGCGTTCAATCTCCACATTCCAGGTTGGTTTGGTTCAGCCCTGCCTTGGCAGGATTTCAGTGGTCAGGACCAGTGAGGATGTGAAGAATGGGGAGGGAGAATCTCACTAGAACTTCAAGGAGCTGTGATAACCTCTCTAGCTCCCCTAGCTTCTCTCAATACATGGTGTTCATTGTACAGTACCCTAGAGGAAAAAGCAGCCTGAGAGCTGGTGTCCAGCCAACTGACTGTGGGGGGCACTTCAGCTCTGTGAAGGCCAGCTCGTTTCTCTCAGTACTTCAAAGCAGTTTCTGGGCTGCTCTTGCAGAACATGAGTGGGGTTATCATAGGCACAGCTGATTTGGGCATTCCTCAGTGCCAGGCCAGAAGGAAAGTCCTCTGCCTTCTGTAGGTCTTGGCAAACCTTCTGCTTACCTGGCTGCACCTCTTGAAACTCATTCAGTGCCCATGTGTTTGGGCCAGGCTCTTCAGCATTGGCCTGAGCTGTGCTGTCTCCTGAGTGCCTTTGTTCTCTGTCCTCCCTCCCCTGCTGAGCTCCATGAGACCAGAGAACAGGGCTGCTCCCTGGAGAAGGGCAATTGCCCTCTTGCTGCCTGTGAATTTTGAAGCTTGTTGGAAGATTGGAGAGCAGTTCCAGGTCCTGCTATGAGGGGCCACTCTTTAACACAAAATCTCCTGTTACTCCAGTGGTCTTCAGTCAATTAATTTCTCTTGTTCTGCTTCATGGCTTTATCCTTAGCTTTGGGGAGAGACGGGAGGATAAAGCAGCAAGGACATGTCCAGTAATTTACCTGTTATTTTGAGTTGCGCTTCATTAAAATTTATGTGAAAATTTCTAATTTCTTGTGAAAGTTGATTTCACAGAGACTGATTAAATATGGTCTCTGCTGCTTTCCTTCATTACCACTTCTCACAGTTACTGGTGTGATTCCTGGCTGCAGTAATTAGGCAATATTGCATGACAGGCAGTGTGTTTCTGGGGAGCTATTGCCCACCTGGGGTGCAGCCAAGAGCAGTGACTTGTTCTGTGATGATAAGAACATGTTAAATGATGTTCAAGTTCCTTATTAGTGAATTGGATTTTTATTCCTCTATCTGCAAGATTGTTCTATCATACAGTTCAGTGATCACAGAATCACAGAATGTGAGGGGTTGGAAGGGACCTCTGGAGATCGTAATGATCATGTTTCCAACAACTTTGAGTTACAAAGAAACCACCCTTATACCTGAAGCCCATGAAACCAAACTTGCTTCAAGCTGATGGAATATTCAGATAAAGCAATGGCTACATGTTTTCCTCCTTATGATGATTTTAGACAGCTACTATGGGGAGCGGTGGTGTTTTGGTCGTGGTATCTTGGTCTGACTTGGTAAGCTTTTCGTATGGAAGACTAACAGTTTTAGAAGTACTTACTCCAGAATTAAACTCTATTGTTCTCACAAGTTAAATATGAACATCTGTAAATTGAATCTGCAAGGCCTTCTCCTAAAAATATATATTAATGCTTTTCAGTGTGAAGGATCGTAAAGCACTTTGCAGCCTGTGAAATACTGTAGGGTTGCTAGTCCCATGCCACAGAAATAGCCACACTGCTGTTTGGAGGCTTCTGGACCTGTGTACTCACACATGTATCAAGTCTGGCAGGGTGAATGTATTTTAATTACGAGAAATTGCCCCCAGAGCAGCTACATGACACTTCCTAGAAGTCTTCAGCACCTTCCCTTGCATGGCCTCGTGCCGAGTGCTGGGAAGAACAACTTCCCCCTTCTGGCATGCTCCTGTGACCTGGATGTCCCTTTTTATGAGAAGGTAATAAATTCCAGTAGGGCACTGCTGATGTGAAGTATGAAGATACTGGAGTGGAGCCCTTGGCTTCAGAGTGGTGTGAGCAGAGGTAAAGTTTCACAAGATAAAGCTTTTGCAAGGTATTTCAGAGTGTTTGGCTGGCTGGACTGCAGCCTGCATGTCAGTCAGAGGCACATAGAAAGCACAAAGTCCTTGGTATTTCATGTGTTCTTTCCAAATTTATTTCACCTTCCCTCTCCTTGCTCACCCACTCTGTGGGCTGGAACTTTTCATAGCCCTGGTAGACTGTGGTTCCCCAAAACTCCACAGAGCATTGATGTGAAATAGGAACCCCCTACTATTTTTTGTTCCTACCATGGTCTTCAGAAAACAAAGGGATGTGCTGAACAGATTTCTTCCTTAGTTCCAGAACACAGTGTGATCATGACTACAATAAGCAAGCACTCGAATGTCAAGACTTTCACAGAAAAGTTGCTGCTTCTACTGAACAGGGGAGGTGAGTGTTGGTGTCACTGTTCCATGCCTGGCAGGTTGTGCATCTAATGGTGGCTCATGGAGATGGGTCTGGTGCTCGTTAAGGGGTGGGATGTGCTGGAGACGCGGGTAGCTGCCTGTCACTCAGGACATGCTGCTTCCTGGTGAGTTGGTGAGGGTGACAGGTTGCATTGCTGAGGATGAAGCTGCACTAAAGTGATGCTTCTGGCAGCTAGGAAGAGAGAATGGGCCTCTGAGTTGGCATTTCCATGCAAACTGGTCCCCTTGTACTTCTGGGTCAGATCAGCCCCATCTCATGGCATGGCTGGCTGCAATGTAGGCAAGCTCTTTTCTGGGGAGAAGGCTGGTCATGGGGCACTCCTGTCCTTAGGCAGAACTCCATCAGCTCTGGCACACAAACTGCAGCCCGTGCTGGCAATCATCTGCTGCAGGGCACAAATCCAGAGGGAAGTCTTGCCTTCCAAAATGCTTAGAGTGGAACTTCCCATTTCAGAACTGCCAGCAGAGGGTTAGCCTTGTGTCTGCTTCAGGCATAGAGTGAAATCCACTGTACGTGAAGAGATTTTGTAAAGCAGATTGCTAGAAAGCTGGAGATCTCCACAGGAAGAGCAGTGCCAGGTATTTCTGCCTGTGCCTCATGCCACTATTGTGCTTTCTAATACCTGCTGGAGCACAGGGGCTTTCCCTGAGATGCATTTTGTTGATTTGCTGGTAAATAAGACATCCTGTGATGCTCACAGCTCATCTTCCTCTGGCTTTAGTTCTCTTTGGGGTTACAAATCACTGTCTCCACACTGTATCAGCTCGAGGGCAGCCGTCATCTCACTGCTCTTCTGTCTGGCCTCCTCCCAAAGCCTTTGTTTAGCCCTTTCCCTGCCAGATTCCCTGCAGGGATCACGTTACTGTGAGGGGCTGGGGGAAGAAAGAGGGCGGCCAGAGCCTAATGAAGATGCTTCTCTTTTGTCTGCCTTGACAACTGGTGGGCAGGGTGGATGGTGGGGGGCTCTGGTGTCCCAGAGCCCCTCTTGGGGTCTGCAGGGATATGTAAAAGAACAGGCTGTGAGGTGTTTCTTTTCTTGCTTCTGGATGGTACTAGCCTGTTCTTTATGGTGAAAGCTCTTTTCTGGTACAGGCTCTGATGGGCTTTTCTGAGGAGTCATTGGACCAGACTTAATAAACTGGGGAGAAAATTGGTAGCTGTTGCACAAAAAAAGGGGGTCCTGAGAGGTGAGGTGCTAATGAGCTCTCACATGGGATGGTAGGTGAAACATAAACAATGATTAATGCTAACGCTAATGAGCTTGGTCTCAGCTTGGTACCCTGCAGAGCTGCCATCCTGATTGTGCAGCTTTGTGCAAAGCCCCAAGGTCTGCCAGCAGAAGAGGGTCTGCAAGGACTGGCTGGCCCAGGCCACAGGCAGCCTTCTCTCCAGAGCCTCTAGGGCCCAATGAAGGGATGTGCACAGATGATGAGGGTGAGGGGCAACAGGGAGCGTGTGGCTTAGCACAGTGTCTCTGCCTCCCCCAGATGATCCAGTTTGTATCTTCAAACATCAACCTCAGCCACCGCACTCAGTGCTGAAGTTTCTGCAGGACATCTTTGCCAGCAAGGATACGGCCAGCATCTTCTACCACACAGACATGATGGTCCTGATTGACATCCTGGTGCGGCAGATTGCTGATCTCTCCCCAGGAGACAAGGTGCTCACGGTGACCTATGGACACAGTGGGAAAAGGGAGCACAGACCCAAAGCCATGGTGTTTGTCCTGGCCCTCCCTGGCACCTGCTAGTGCAGGCAAGAGTGGAGTCCTGGGGTGGGCATTACATTTCTGGGTGCTCAGTCAACACAGGGGTCTCAAGAGGAAGGGGAGATTTATCCTTCCCAGCACACAGCAGTAGAAGTGCATGTTTGAAGAAGGATCTGCCTGGCTTCTGGTGGTCTGCATCCCTCTGTCAGGGACCTTTGGGAACGTGGGCTTTGTGAGTAGTAGAAGTAGGAGGCATCCCTCTGTTTTGGTACTGCAAAGGGCAGAGGATGTGTGCATGTTTGAGAGTGGGTGCAGAGCACCACTGGGTTGCTGTGAGAAAAGCAGTTTTCCATAGATACTAATGAGCCTTAAGGAAAAGCAGGTGCCTCTGGGAGTTGCTCTCTGGCTGACAGTGCAGCAGCAGCTGCTTCTGTGCTCATGCTGTAATGGAGGCTGGCATCCTTGTTTATCTCACTTTAAATCTTTGGTTGTGCTCTGTGTTTTGTCTCCCCTCCCACTTGGCAGCTGAGGATGGAGTATCTCTCCCTGATGCACGCCATCATCCGCTCCACGCCCTACCTGCAGCACCAGCACCGCCTCGCCGACCTGCAGGGCATCTTGCAGCGCATCCTGGGGGAAGAGGAGGAGGACCAGCAGTGCCAGATGGACAAACTGATCATCCTGGAGATTTATAAGGAGTTCCCAGAAATCTCTCCCGGTACCAGCTAACCGCCCCTCGCCTTGGACTGGAGTTTGAACCACTTGGATCAACGATGTCTCCTGTTGACACTTTGTCCCCATTCCCTTCCAGTACAGCTCATACCTTATATCCCTCCGTGCGAGGCCTAAGGTTGGGACAAGGTTCACCAGCCCTTTGGAGCCACCAGCAGCAGAAAGGGCAGGGGGTGCCCCCAGGCCTGGTGCTGGGGGGAGGTTGGAGCAGGGTGGGCGCTGGTGTGTGGTTTGCCTGCAAGACTCAGGCAGGAGGAATTTAGGCAGCTGGTGTTAGTGGCAAGGGCAGAGAGCCCTGGGGTGGGGGGTGTTTAGCTGTGCTGGTGTCCTGAAGCAAAAGGCCTTTGCCTTTGAGTATCACTTCTTTTCCATGTGCATCTCTCCCCGCTGTGACCAAGTGGAGTCTGCTGGTGCTTGGAAGAAGCTTTTGTAACATCTGTTTTGTCTTCTGCTGCTAGTGCCAATGTGCTGCAGCCCTGCCAAGGGGAGGTAGCTCGCTCGCTGTCTAACGCCTTGTCTAGTGAGCCTTTCACTCCCTCCTGGCCCTCAGCTTTGCCTCTGGGTAGCAGCCCACCTGGGTGGGTCATAGAGGTCTTATCTCAACAGCTGCTTTTTTCAATCTGCTTTCTAGAGCGACGTTTAAATCCAAATTTCTTGCACACTGTGGCAGCCTAGAAGTCATGACCATGTGGGTGACTCTGCCCTTGGGAAGCCTTTGGCCTGGACACAGCACAAAAACGTGTCCTGCCAAGAGAAGGCTGCATGTGCCACCTCCCTGCCGAGGGGCTGCGCGTGGGCAGGCGCGCTCTGTTCGTGAAGCCTGTGGATTTCTTGCCTTGAGCTTCATAGTAGCTCTGCCTCGCTGCTCTCCCTCTCCACGTGGCAGTGCTTGGAGGCAGCGTGAGCCTGGTGTCCAGTAGCTGTTTGTGACTATGCACGAGTGTGGGGAACCCTTATTTATATTTCCTCTAGGTTTCTAGCAAATGGGATTAACCTGTTTCCCTGTAACAGGCAGTCACACTAACGTGGGTCTCTAACATATTTGTGTGCGTGGTCTGGTCAGTCTCCTGTCCCTGGCTCTTCCTTTGCAGTATCCAGTGTAGGAGCTATTGGAAAGTGGAACTGGAAATACTGGGCACTGTGGGTTTTTTCTTAGCTTGAGGCAATGACACGAGCTATGCTCTGCAGGCCTGGATGCTGGGCACTGGGGCAGTGATGCTTGGGAATGGAGGGGATTGGCCTGGCAGACAAGGGGGGCAAGGACTCCCCTGAAGTCTGCCTGGGAATGCCCAAGCTTAATAACCACCCTCGTAGAGAAACCTATTTTTTCCCCTGTAAAAATGTATGAATGTCCAAAGGGATCCTGTATTTTCTTAAACACTAAGTGTAACATGCAGAGGAATAAAAATGTCTTAAACTGGACATCTGTGACTGTAGCCCTGCCTGTCCTGCCCTGTTGGGGGGGGTCCCTGAAGGGGTAGGAGGGGCTTGGGTGCCCACTGCCTGCTAAGGCAAAGCAGTGGGTGCTGACCCTCACTCGAAGGGGAGCAGTGCAGTGCTTTGCCCACACTCAGCTTCTTGCGTGGTGTTTTCCTGCTGCGTTGCTGGCAGATGAGGCAGGGTGGAGGGCAGCAGCCCCTGCAAAGGCCAGAGCCAGCAACTCCTGCGGGCTGCCCAGCACCACTGCTCCGGCTGCAGGGCTTGGCAGAGCTGGAGCCAGCAGTTGGCTCCCGGCGAGGCACACGCAGGCTCAGCTGGCTCCAGGCAGAGCTGCCGAGGCTGCAGCCCCCCCCGGCCGGGGTTAACCATCCAGATCGATCGCTGACAAAGCAGGGCCTG